AAACTCATCGTCTTCTTTTAGAAACATATTTCGTGAAAAATATTTCAAATCGAAGTCTCATGTGACCTATTGCAATCGCCTTAAGACCGTCGTTATGTATCGTCCGTCCGTCTACATTTCCGACTTCAACTCATAAAGTCATTATCGACTTCTAAAAAACCCCGAAGTTAAGAAATTTTGAAAGCACTTCCTTGTCCAAAGTGAACCAAAATTGTGAAGTATTTGGTCTCCACTCTACATAGCCTGATGACAAGAGGGGTCGAAAAGATTCAGATTTTAAAATATTCTTAAACTAGATATCAAGACATGATAGATACATAGATGGAACGTTCTTCAGATACTTAAACCATTTTGTGAATTTCATCACTCCATGGCACATGTTCAGTTACCGAGACCGTTAACATAGAATTTGGGACTGTTAATACAGAATTCGGGACCGTTAACATAGAATTCGGGACTGTTAATACAGAAATCGGGACCGTTAACATAGAATTCGGGACTGTTAATACAGAATTCGGGACTGTTGATACAGAATTCGTGACCGTTAACATAGAATTCGGGACTGTTAATACAGAATTCGGGACTGTTAATACAGAATTCAGGACCGTTAACATAGCATTCGGGACTGTTAATACAGAATTCGGGACCGTTAACATAGAATTCGGGACTGTTAATACAGAATTCGGGACCGTTAACATAGAATTCGGGACTGTTAATACAGAATTCGTGACCGTTAACATAGAATTCGGGACTGTTAATACAGAATTCGGAACCGTTAACATAGAATTCGGGACTGTTAATACAGAATTCGGGACCGTTAACATAGAATTCAGGACTTTTAATACAGAATTCGGGACTGTTAATACAGAATTCGGGACCGTTAACATAGAATTCGGGACTGTTAATATAGAATTCGGGACTGTTAATACAGAATTCGGGACCGTTAACATAGAATTCAGGACTTTTAATACAGAATTCGGGACTGTTAATACAGAATTCGGGACCGTTAACATAGAATTCGGGACTGTTAATATAGAATTCGGGACTGTTAATACAGAATTCGGGACCGTTAACATAGAATTCAGGATTGTTAATACAGAATTCGGGACTGTTAATACAGAATTCGGGATCGTTAACATAGAATTTGGGACTTTTAATACAGAATTCGGGACCGTTAACATAGAATTCGGGACTGTTAATACTGTAATGCCGAGTGAAGTGTTAACAGAATAAACAATGTAAGACGTGGTAGCGTCAATTGAGGTATTTAATACTCGTAATACTAAATATAAAGGAAACTAAAACATAGGTTCCCCATGGTACACAACTCCTTACTATCAATTATATGGAAAACAACATAAGCTGGAGTACCTGTGTACGATTACGTCCTTCCCGGCCACTAGACACAGCTAGAGAGAGAGAGACCACTGTTCACCTGTGCACGTGCTCTCGTCACGCCCTAACACACACGATACCGTCTAAATCGTCACTGAGTGGGACATGCACTGCGTACTAAATAGGTCAGTGAGCTAATTACACTAGCATTACACTATTCTCCTCTCTTAAAAAAATTCGTCTCGAATTTCTCTTAGAAAAAAAAAACATATTTAACAAAATGAAAAGTTCTCATAGTCTTATTTCCGGATTGAACTGCCAGGTATCCACAGTCTTTGACTTGACCGTCCTTCCGTCCCTCCTATAGGTTGTATACTCCCTCGTCAAGGAGATGCGATAGTGTGACACATCAATGGGGATGATCGGACCCACAGGTGTATCTGGTATTATAGGATTCGTCGGCTGCTCCTCGTCCGAGCTGCTCGAATACTCCGCCTTTTCATTTTCATCGCGACCGATTCGTTCCTTAGACCCTGGACGAACAGACAGTCTATCCGGGACAGGAACCATCTCCCGTTGCCGTTCGCTTTCCCTCGACGATTTGTCCCTAGGAGGCGAGGAACTTTTCCCATGCTCCCTGCTGATATGCCGCAGGAGATCGTCGGCATGAGAAAAGGTATTGTCACAGAGTGGACACGCTTTCCTAGACCCCTCCTTCTGGTGTTTGGTCCGCTCGTGTCGTCTGAGGTTGGACATCGTGGAGAAATCTTCACCACATTCTCTGCACCTTACCACGCCATCCGAGTTCCTCCTCTTCGCTAGCTTCACAGGGGACCTTGATCGAGACCTACCCATCCTGCAAGCAAAAGGGACAGTAACAGTAAACGTAGTAATCCTTCAGATGTGCCGGTCTTTGACGACAGAGATTCAGATGTTTTCGCGGAAACGTTAACACTATCATTGACATCGACGTGGTCAGGATTGTTCGCGTCGGTCACCGGGACCCTATTCCAATCATGGAGACGATCTGAATTTCGGCTGGATGCGTGCCGACAGGCTTCGAGAGGGAAAGGCTTAAGTCGATTGAAATGGACAACTTTGGGCTTTCCAGGACCTGGATCTGCCCTCACACGATAAGTGACTTCAGACAAACGATTCAAGACAACATGGGGTTTCCAAAATTTCTGAAACTTTGGGCATATGCCTTTTTTCTTATTCGGAGTGAAAAGATAAACATGATCCCCGGGTTGGAATGGTTTATTTATTGTGTTTTTATCATAGTGTCTCTTCTGGACGGAAGCTGATCTACGAAGATACTCCCTTGCAAATCCGTACGCTTCGTTGTACCTTGATTGGATTCTCCTAGCGAATTCGGTCGTTGTCTGAGCCTTAGAGGGAGGTGGAAACATTACGTCGACAGGCAGGTAAATTTCCCTTCCCAAGGTGAGAAAATTTGGTGTAAAACCAGAACTTTCCTGAACGCTCGACCTGTACGCCATCAACACATAGGGTAAATATTCGTCCCAAGTATCTTGATTGTGGTTCTCAATATACGCACTCAGCATCTGCACCAGAGTCCTATTAAACCTCTCCACGAGACCATCTGACTCAGGATGGAAAGGCGTCGTCCTCGTCTTTGCGATACCCAAAACACTGCAAACCTCCTTCATGACTTTTGAGTCGAAGTTCCTGCCCTGGTCAGAATGAAACTCAAGCGGAAGACCAAAACGACAAAAGAACTTTTCTACCAAAACACTGGCTACCGTATTTGCTTCCTGATTTTGGATGGGGAACGCTTCAACCCACTTCGTGAAACAATCCGTTACTACCAGGATGTATCTACTTCCGGTTGCTGTTAACGGCAATGGGCCCAGAATATCTGCAGCGACTCTTTCCATCGGTCCTCCGCTAAGGTAGATATTCATAGGAGATTTCCTCTTGGGAATAGGGTTTTTCTTGGAAGCGCAAACAGGGCATGATGCGATCCACTTTGCGACGTCGGAGGCGAGACCCCTCCAGAAGAATCGATCCCTCACTTTACGGACGGTCTTCTTATAACCCAGATGTCCAGCGGTTTTCGCGTCGTGCAGTTCCTGAAGAATCGTTTGCCGGAGTGTATAGGGGACCAAATAAAGATCCTTATAACCGGAACCGGATTCATTCTCCCATCTCCTGCAAAGTACCCCATCTATTACGCGTAATTGCTCCCATTGGGCGATATAGCTTTTTAGGTCCGCGGACGCCGCTGGGAAATCTTCAGGCGATGGTTTCCTATCGTTCGTTTTGTGCTCCAGGAGAAAACTTAGCTCACGATCTTCTGATTGAGCTTTCCTGATATCGCCGTCTACGATGTTATTCAACACTGCTCTACAATCTGGCTCTGACGTCATATCGCTCCCCAAAACTTCATTGTAGTTGCTTTCTTCAAGCCCGCACTGCTTACACGGACGTCTTGACAATGCATCTGCATTAGCGTGCCTCTTTCCGGGTCTATGTTCTATTGAAAACTGATATGTGTCCAATGTCTCGATCCAACGGGCTATTTGGCCCTCAGGTTCACGGGTCGATAGCAGCCATCTAAGAGCGGCATGGTCAACGCGAAGCTTGAACTTCCGTCCATAAAGATAATGGCGAAAATGCTTTATGAAAAAAACCACCGCAAGCATCTCTCTTCTCGTCACGCAATATCTCCGTTCAGTTTTAGTGAGCGTTCTACTGGCGTACGCTAACGGGCGTTCGACGGGAGTGCCATCTTGAATCTGAACTTGCGACAGAACTGCTCCAATTCCGGTATTACTAGCGTCGGTATCCAATATAAATGTGCGGTCTGGATCTGGATAACCAAGGACCTCTGAATCTGTCAGTTTTTGTTTCAATTTCAAAAAAACCTCATCGTGTTCATCCCTCCATATGAACGGTCGATTTTTCTCTGTCAGTTCGAACAGAGGTCGGGCCATAGTCGAAAACCCCTTGACAAACCGCCGATAGTACGAACAGAACCCGAGGAAACTGCGCAGTTCTTTGACCGTTGCTGGCGTAGGCCATTCCGATATCGCTTTTGTCTTTTCGGGATCAGTGCTAACGCCGGCTTCGGACACCACGTGACCCAAATACTTGACGGAACTCGACAGCAGGTTGCATTTTTTTGGTTTCAATTTAAGATTTGCTCCTCGGAGTCGATCGAATACCTGCCGGAGCCGGTGGATGTGATCCTCAAATGTTTTACCGAAAATGATAACATCATCCAAGTATACTAGGCATATTTCCCAGTGTAAACCTGCGAGTACTCTTTCCATTAGTCTCTCAAAGGTGTTACCGCTATTGGACAAACCGAACGGCATCACATTAAAATGAAAAAGGCCCTTTCTGGTTACGAAAGCGGTTTTACTTTTATCTGCGTCCTCCATCTGCACTTGCCAATATCCGCTTGTAAGGTCGAGAGTCGAAAACCATTTAGCTCCTGAGAGGCTGTCCAGAGTTTGATCAATTCTCGGCAGTGGGTATGCGTCTTTAATAGTAGCGGCATTTAGCTTGCGGTAATCGACGCAGAACCTCATCGTTCCGTCTTTCTTTTGCACTAGTACAATTGGGGAGGCCCATGGACCGTCTGATGGTTCTATGATTTTATTTTGTAGCATCGACTCTACTTGCCGGTCAGCTTCTGCTTATAAGTGCATCGGCGCTCGTCTCAGCGATTGCTTTATTGGATTCTGGTTACCCGTTTCAATACGATGTTTGACAACTCCGGTTTTACCTATATCTGTGTTAGATTTCGAGAACACGTCATCGTACTCACTCAAGAGCTTCTTAACCTCTGTTAACTGGTCTACGGACAGCTTATTTCTGCAACCTTTTATCATTGGTCCTAAGTGCGGGGATATCGGAATATCAGCCGAAGTACTAGCTACTGATGCTACCAAATCCGGTTCGCGTTTCAGCTTCGCGGTCTCGGCGTTCCAAACATCTACGATAGGTTCTGCTTCGGCCGCAACAGTTCCTTTTCGAATCAGTTTGGACTCAGAGCCAAGATTCATAACTCTTAGCGGACTTCGTTCCGACGTTCCGTCAATGATAACCTTACAAACCATAAGATTATGTTTCTGGACGAAAGTGCTTATCGGTTCAACAATCATTGATTGCCTCGACGACTCCTCAGGCTGAACAGGTAGTATCATCTCATGACCTGGTTGAACTAGAACATCTTCGACGACCCTGACTTTGACCTTTCGGGTTTCCAAATCTACCCTTGTCTCCGGGTAGTTGGGACCCTCTCCACACACATTAGATTCAGGTGGTAGACGCAAAACGGAGGAATGAACATCAACAGTGCATCTATGAGATTTGAGGAAATCAAATCCCAACAATCCGTCGTAATTGATCTCCGCAACTAAGAATGGGTGCGCATAGCTGTTTCCGCCCATGATGATTTCTAGATTAACGATTCCTTCCGTTCTGAGTTTATGCCCTGTGACTCCCTTCGTATTCCACGGAACACTTCCCGGATTGGGGATCTTATGACGGATCCGCTCGTAAATCTTTGTAGATAAGATAGACACACTAGCTCCCGTGTCCACTAAGAAATCCACTCCCAAACCGTGAACCGTGCATGGAACAAAACACCCGTCATAATACTCTTCCCACGAATTGGGTCCTAAATAAGGTGCGATTGGTTGACCCTTCCCGATCACACCTAGAAGTTTTCCGATTCTTTCTTCTGTTTACGTTCCCTTCTTTCCTCCTTGCAATCTCTGCTGATATGCCCTCTTTTATTACAATTAAAGCATCTCCTCCCGGCAAATTTAGCCTTGTCCTCACGTCGCTCCTTTAATAACGTCTTTAGTTCCTGGAACTGAGTCCGAAGCTCTTGAATTTCTTCCTCTAAACGCCGATCTACGTGATCTCCTTGCGTCCCGGATCTCGTTTCAACATCCAGATCCGCAGGTCGAATCACTCTATCAGCCTAAGAAGAATTTCGCTGTGTTTCTGCCTTTTTTATAGAATCAAACTGTATTGCTCTTTGCGTGACATCTTCTAGACTCTTGCAATCGGCTTGTAAAACGTAGAGGCGAATGCTAGGATCTGTTAGCGCGTCAATGAAATGGTCTCTTGCTAGGACGTCGAGAATGTTGTGATCTATTCCCGGATAAGCCTCTAACGCCAATCTCTTTATGGACTGGCTCAGCTCCATTACCGATTCTCCCTCTGTTTGTCTTCTCGCCTTGAGCTGAGCTCTGTACAACTCACTCCTTTTCTGCGGATGAAATCTCCTGTTCAGTGCTGCGACGACTTTCTCATAGTTTTGCATCTCCTCTGCAGACAAGATTCCAATTGTCTGTTGAGCTTGTCCACGGAGACTGACGCACAAATATTCCGCCTTCTGTAGATTGTTCCATTCGTTGATACGGGAACACATCTCAAAATATTTCAGGTAATCCGGTAACGGAGTCGATCCGTTGTAGGTTTCGGGCGTCACTTTTGGTCTTCTATGACTATGTCTGGATTTGATCCCGTGATCCGATCCGGGATCATCATTGTGATCCGATCCGGCTCCGCCGTTATGATCCGATCCGGTCTCAGCCCCCCTTGACCGTTCCAGCTGTGGGTCTGATCTGTTCAAACTCTCCGTATCGTGGCGTCTGATCCGAAATGTGTCCTCCCCAGGGAAAGTGGTTCTCCCTCTACACCTGTTGGAATGTATTTCTGTGTTTTGATCCTTAAAATCCGGCTCGGATTTAATCCGCAGCGCATTTCGAAGATCCTCCTGATCCAGCTCACGTTTGTTCCCTCCATAGTTTTCACCCCTCGAATATGGTATGGATTTCATCCTTCCACTCTGCTTATCTCCGACAGCTTGTTCGAATGATCCGGTGGGTTGGTTCATATGACCTTTCGCCGATCTGATCTTGGGAATGGCTCCATTATCTTTACCCGTCTTCCTCAGTTGTCCATCCCGCCATAGTCCGTAATCCGGCGCGGATCTGTACCGATCTTGAGATACCTTCTCTCGTTTGATCTTCTGCCGTGGTGTAGGTTGTGAAAAATCTGTTGACTTGATACAATCGTCGGCGGATTCGTGATTGACGTCCTCACCTTCCTCAACCACTCTACTTTCTTCCTGATCCGTAAGTTGATCTGTTATCCAGCTGTGCATATCCGGATTGTGCCGGCGTAAATCCTCGTGTGCCCTTTGTGTTTCCATGGCTAGCTCTTCCCGGAGTTTACAGATCTCCTCGCTTATACGGCTTTGGACACCAGTCATTGATTCTGATGACGGCATGTTCAAAACGGTACGTCGTTCCTGGGCCAGTGCATGTCCCATACGCTGCCCCGCTGGAGATTTCAACTGTCGGTCACTATCTGGGTACGAGTGTAGTTTTTTCCGTCGTGTTACGTTTGCATCATCCATAACACAGCGTGATATATCACAAAATACAACGAACTTATGGGTATAGATTGATATAAGCCAAAATCCCACCGCTGCCACCAATGTAATGCCGAGTGAAGTGTTAACAGAATAAACAATGTAAGACGTGGTAGCGTCAATTGAGGTATTTAATACTCGTAATACTAAATATAAAGGAAACTAAAACATAGGTTCCCCATGGTACACAACTCCTTACTATCAATTATATGGAAAACAACATAAGCTGGAGTACCTGTGTACGATTACGTCCTTCCCGGCCACTTGACACAGCTAGAGAGAGAGAGACAACTGTCACCTGTCCACGTGCTCTCGTCACGCCCTAACACACACGATACCGTCTAAATCGTCACTGAGTGGGACATGCACTGCGTACTAAATAGGTCAGTGAGCTAATTACACTAGCATTACAATATATATATGTGTGTGTGTGTGTGTTTTGTACAAATGTGGATTGATATAAGTTAGTGTGTGCGTTTTTTGTACAAATGTGGATTGATATAAGTTTGTGTGTGTGTTTTCTTTTGGTACAAATGTGGATTGATATAAATTTGTGTGTGTGTTTTTTTTTTTTGGTACAAATGTGAATTGATATAAGTTTGTGTGTGTGTGTGTTTTTGGTACAAATGTGAATTGATCTAAGTATGTGTGTGTGTGTGTGTGGTTGTGTGTGGTTGTGTGTGTGGGGGGGGGGTGGTTGTTGTGTGTATGTGTGTGTGTGGGGGGGGGGGGTGGATGGTTGTGTGTGTGTGTGTGTGAGAGAGAGTGTGTGTGGTTGTTGTGTGCGTGTGTGTGTGTGGTTGTGTATGTGTGTGTGAGGGTGTATGTGTGTGTGTTTTGTGAGTGTGTTTGTGTGGTTGTGTGTGTGTGTGGTTGTGTGTGTGTGTTTTTTTATGTATTATATAGCCGTGCGCACACTTGTTTGGATGTACACAGGTGTCATGGTTCAAGTCAGTTATGGCAGTTTCTCGATGTTCTTAGATATGTACGTACAGTGTCATGATAGACAAATGAATGGTTTGGAATCACAATTCA